GGGGAAGCTTCAGTCCAGTTCCTATTTACTCTTTTCCTCTGTCTTTTCCTACTGGAATAGTTGCTGTGCCATAACCTTCACTTCCTCATTCTCATTCCTCCTCCCTCCCTCCCTCCGAGGCTCCGACAGACCCCCTCACCTTCAGCAGTTTTATTGACTTTATGACTGTCGAGGGGATAGGTGTGCAGCACCATCCCTGATCGTCCATGATAAACCTTTGCCTCACAGTCTCCATCAACCTTGGGCAGCGCATAACTGCCTCAGCTGCTCCTGGTGAGTGTCGACAGAACGCCACGAGGACATCAAGCAGCAACTCATCTGCAATTGGGATTCGCATGACCTGCACGGAGAAAATGGCAGCAACAACAACAACATCGGTTAATGCCATGAAGGTCGGCGGGTTGGGTGACGACGGTGTCGGGGAATGGTTATATAGCATATACTGAAGAAGATGGACAACAATTTCCGTTACATGTTGATGACCTGCATGGAGAAAATGACAACAACGACAACATCGGTGAAGACTGTGAATGTCAGGTTGGGTGATGATGGTTTTCATGAATGGTGATATACTAAAGACGGTAGGCTCACGTCTTGACCTGCACATAGAATATGATGACGACAATGACATCGGAGAAGGCCATGAAGCTGAGGTTGGGCGATGATAGCGTCCAAGAATGGCGATATACTGAAGAAGATAGGCAACAAGTATGCGCTCATGTGTGCAGCACACCATACTTTAAATCGAAAACGCAAAAAAATGCAGACTGATTGATGGTCATGCATTCAAATGGGAAGTCATGCTCCCAGCAATGTGATTAGATTCGTTAGAATCATTTGATTACCTCCAAGATTGATGAACTACTTGATACGAAAGATCACAGCTTCTTTTTCTTCTTTTCCCCTACGTCCCCCGAGGGTGTAATCGAGGTCTGCCACATTGTGGTCATGTCCCGGTTGTCTGAACCCTGTGCCGTCTGTGCTCCGTTGCTCCCCTGGCACCTGTACCAGGGGGCCTGCTGGGGCTCCTTTAATATCAAGTCTTTAGTCGGGCCGATCTGTCCTGTTCCTTGCAGCTTTCGTCTGTGTAGTCTGGGCCTGGTGCCGCTTGCCCTCCTGGCTCCTGTTGCCCCCCTGGCTCCTGTCCCAGGAGGGCTGTTGTTGTACTTCTGCTGTTGAATCCATTGTCGTGGCAATCCTTCCTGTTCATAGGGGCCGCACGTTCCAGCTCGTGCATGGCGTACTGCCCAGCATCCGAAGGGTAGGGGGACTGCGAAGGCTGAGTCGTCAAAGGAGACCGACAGGAGGGAAGGAGGGCTTGTGAGGGACAGGGAGATGGGGTGTTGGTAAAGGTGGGTCTGCTTGGGGGGGGAGGAGGCACAGTCCCTGGCTTCTGGGACTGCATCAGTGCGATCGGGAACAGAGCCTAGGCGCATCCCGTACTATCACTGTTAGTGCTAAACTGCTAGTTCATCGTGCCCTGGCAGGGGTGTGTAGGACCAGTCAGTTCGCTGGCCTCAGACGCCACTGTTTTCCGTCTGCCAACCAATTCCTCCAGACCAGTTTCCCATAATTCTGCATGTCACACAAGTTTCTATGGGGGTTCTATCTAGGGGGTCCCTGAATTCCTTAAGCGCGCGCTGTCTTACAACCTGGTCTGTAATAGAGGATAGTTATTTGTTCAGCTTTCTTCCCGCCTCGGCAGAGGCCATACGGAACTCTCGTTAGCAGTGGGGAAGGTTGCAAAAAGTGAGGGTCTAGTACACTGTGGGGACGGGGGGTAACCTCGAAAGACATAGCTGTAACAAACGGACACTGGGCTAGGTTGCAAAAAGTGAGGTGGACGGGGGATAACCTCGAAAGACATAGCTGTAACAAACGGACGCTGGGCTCGGCCCGGTACCCAGCACGTGCTGCCGTCAATCCTGGGTGCCACTACAACAGGCATGGACTCTTATCCCTGTCTTCGGTAGGCAAGCCCCAGCTGATGTTTTTCTCAAAAAGAAAAAAAGAAAAAGAAAAAAAAAAGAAGTTTCCCACCTAACCAAAAAAACAAACAAAAAAAGGGTGGCATCCCACCTGACAAGGGCCTCCCTCCGAGGCACAAGAAGTGGTTGCCGAACTTCTTCCAGTTGCAGGGCCTTCGGCATAGGCCACAGCCTTTTCCGTGTGAGAAAAGTTATAGATCCCCCCCGACGCCCCCGTGAGAAAAGATTTGTACTCGTTTGACCCCCCCGATCGTTTGACCCCCCCGAAGTGCCGGAGGCCCTGAACGGCCCGGTAATGCCCGCTTTAGGGTTGAGGCGCAGGGGGGGAATCCGTGCCCTTTTGCCACCAGCTTTCGGGGGCCATTCCCATCCAAGTGCTGGTGCATGTCATTTGCTGGCCTAGCCTTGTAGTTGAGACTGTGCCGGAGCCCACCCACCTGTGCTATGTTTGTGGGAACGAAACATGAACCTGGCCATCCATGCTTTCTAAGCATGACGATAGTGCCATTTGTGTCCTCCAAGCCTTGACGTCTCCCCAACCTTACCCTAGCCTTAATAGCTGCATCCTCTCCTCAGAAGTGCAGTTCAAGGTACAGCAGTATGCCACCATTGGCATTGCACGCTAAGTTCAGGTGCAGATGATGGGCTTCAATTGTAATTTGTGCAGCTTCCTTTTACTGTGGACTGGACCTCTGGGTGGATGTTCACACTGGCACTTTCATGCATGCATTTGACCCGGATTGCTTCCCAGATTCAGTTCCCAATATCTCAGCTTCAGTATTCCCGGACACTACTATGCCCACTTCCAGAATGAGTGGAAGCAGACTCTGTACATGTAGGCTTCTGTACAGACTGCTTCTGGAGAGGACAGCTGGCAGCAGCCTGTGGGCGCCGTACCGTCGTTTCCTGCCCGAGAACCTGAAGTTTTTTTTTTTTTTTTTTTTTTTTTACCGGTTGCATTGCTGTAGACTCAGTGTAGAGGATAAAGTCTAACAATCAAAAGGTTTTCGGTTTTTTTTTTTTTTTTTACCACTCTCGATTTATGCGGGTCATCCTTGTGTGTATTGTTGCAGTTTTAATGGATACACAGAAGCCTGAAGGACAACAATTAGGCTTCTATAGGATGGCGTCAGTAAAATCAATATAGAAATCCAGAAGAGAGAGGCTTGGCACATTTGGTATGTACCATGTAGTATTTACTCTCCGAATTTCTGAAGTCTTGAACTGCAAGTTTTCTGGGCTCTCCGAATTTCTGAAGTCTTGAACTGCAAGCTTTCTGGGTATGAAGTGGGCCTACGGGGCCCACTTCAAATGGGCCCACTTTATGTCACTTGGGCCTAGGGCCTGCTGGGGGTCCCCTTCATGTCATGTAGACCCACTTTATACGATGTGGGCCCAGGGCATGCGGGGCCACCTCTGTGTCATGTGGCCCCCCTAAGATTGGCCTGCTGGGCCTCCTCACCTTCATGTGCCCCTCATGAACTTTGTCTGCTTTCCCTATGTCCCACGATCCTTACTGCCGATGGTGTTGCCCCCAGAGATACTAGCCACAGTATCTAGGTATGTCTTTGCCTCCCTTTTTTTTTTAGTCGCCCCCCCTTTTTTTTTTTTTTTTTTTTTTTTTTTTTTTTTTTTTTTTTTTTTTTTTTTTTTTTTTTTTGCACACTTTTATGTTGTCTACGCGCACAACCCACTTAATGTCATATGGGCCAGGGCCTGCTGGCCCACTCAATATCATGTGGGCATATTTAAGTGGGCTTGCTGGCCCCACCAAAGTGAAAACCTCAGACTTTTTTTTTTTTTTTTTTTTTACTAAGAGACTATTAATAGTAACACTGTAACAATAGTAGTTTAACTTGGACGTTCAGACTGTGTCCCTGTGCTTTGATTGGTTTCTTGCTGTCTTTTGCAAGTGCTTTGTCGTTTTGTGTTAATGATTACCCGATTACGTATGTAGGTGAATGTTCCCACTTTATCTGAACGTGGTCCACCTTCCATCCAGGGGGGTCTGCATTGGACGCCTCTTGAGCTCGTGGGTATATAGTCCTTTGACGCTGTTCATGACTGAGGCATCACCACCTTTGCTGCGGTCCGTCTTTTTTCCTGTTAAATGCAGCACACTAGGGGCACAAGCAAACATCGTTTGATGAACTTCGATCGCTCAACAAACTCGTAATGTTTGCGACTCTATGCGTCTTAGCCCTTTGATGGTGTTCATGACTGAGGCAGCAGCACCTTTTCTATGGTCTTACTCCGTCTGAGGCAGCACCTTTGCCGTGGTCTGTCTTTTTTCTTCTTTGCTTTTTCTTTTTATGCGGCCCGATGGGCCGCAGATCAGATATTCAACGTCTGCTTTGGCTTGAGGGAAGCCAAACAACTTTTTTTTTTTTTTTTTTCGCAGGGTGTCCCGTCCTCCATATTGCCATCAGGCTGAGATGCGCCGCGGAAAAGAAATAATTTTTCATTTGGCGTCTCCCTCAGGCAAAAGCAGACATGCACCGCGGAATGGAAATTACCGTCTGTATCCATGCACCTGCGCCATCGGTTAGCGCAATTTTTCAGTGATGCGCTATTTCGCACTAGCGCGCGGCCCCGGCCCCGGCCTGACGGGCTGACACCAACCGCAATCCGCCGTCCACCACCCTCCCGCCGAACGGCCCGCGCGCCGCGCGGGCCCGACTTTGAACACTCCGAAGTTGGGCGGCAAGCCCGCCATCGCCACGAGGGCGTGAAGAAGCCCCGCCGAAGAGCTCCCCCTGGGCGCGTGCCAACACAAGGAACGCTGCTGCATAGGCGAACTTGGGTGGCCAATCGCAGCAGCCATTCTGCCGGCAGCCTGACTCGGCCATCATCTCCAGAAGATCGAAGACTGAAGAACGAGCCTAAGCTGGAAGCCGCCTTCGCTGGACAACAAGCAACAGATAGAGGAACGAAGAGACCCGCTCCCTAGACGGCATCAGGCCCCACAAGAGTCCCACATTCAGCCGGCTGCAGCGAAGAAGACCAGGATCAAACGACTAGCTCCTCCGTAAGAAGCTCCCTACCACCATCCCCACCTACACTGTCTACGACCCCACCAGCACTAACTCTCGTCAACCTATCTCTCAAAGTTCCCATCCCGATTCTACCAAGCTCTCCCCCCCCCGAAACCTACCAGATCAGCCCACCCGCCTCATACAGGCGATAGCCCTCTCCCATGCCCCCAGCCCCCAGCCTCCGGCTCCTCGCTCACGTCTCTAACCCCCGCCTCCCACTCCCCTCAACACTATCGCCTCATCGTGGTACATCTCCCCCTCTCACCTGTCTGGACAGGAGCGACAAAACACCAGCCATCCTCCGTCCCCGCCAATGCCCCCAACCCCCAGCCCCATCTCCAGTGCTTCCAGAACTCCCCCAATCCGATCCAGACTTCGCAACCCCGGTGTCTCCCCTTCTCGCCCTCCCCTCCCCCATAATCCACCAACCCGCACTTCAACGGCCGCCACTCTCCACCCACCTCATACCTCAAGATCCGAATCCGCCGCGCTCGCCAATCAGATCGCCAATCCTTCGACTCCAGTTCGTATCCTGCAATCTACCAAGCCACGCGACCTTACTACAGCTCACTCAGCCTCTCAAACTCCCACCCGTCAACAATACAATCACAACAAAGCAAACAATCGCCCATCCTACTCATAGATCCCCCACCCAAACTTCCCCCGATCACGATCTTCCCCACGCAGTCTAACCTCCAATACTCTCTCACGCATCCTACAACAAACACACAAGGTGGATAGGAGGTCATAAGAACACCGATCTCCATCACTACTCACGGCCGAAAGAAGAAAAAGAATAACGCTGACTCTACCCCTACCCCCCCCCCCCCCCAACCCCCGCGCACTAAGATCAACTCGCACTTCCCCCCCCCCCTTCTCACCAACCCTAAATATCCGCATACACGTCTACTCAAAATCGCTACGGGAGAGCCTGACATAGATAACACATAAAACACTGGCTCGCAGCTACGCAGGCAAGGCAAGGCCACCCACCGAACGCTTCCACATTCCTCCTTCCTCCATTCACCATTACACATCTCATCCACACCTCTCAGTTGACGCCAAGCCCACGACTATCCTATCTCAAGTGAACGAAGAGATCAGTAAACAACTGGTCTCACCCAAACTCCCCCAGCCAACGTCCGCGGAATACGGACTGAGCAAAAACTACACCCCGCCACCACTAAACACACGGTCTAAGCTCGCGGACTCCAGCTCGTCTTCCCTGCTACACCAAGCCCCCTCCCACCCCTCATCCCTGACCGCCCTCCTCCCCCCTTAGCCCCCCTGATCCGCCACGTCAGTCATAAAACACTCACGGAATTGATCACTCTCAATCGCCCATGTAAGCCCCGACTGGCGGCTGTGCATGCTACGCAAAAGCTGGATAATCAGCAAGCTTACCTGGCAGCATCAACGAACAGCTGACACCCATACTGGAACACGTAGAGAGCATCAATCAACAGGCTGTAAACGAACAGCTGACAGATCACACTGGAACACATAACCTAAGAGGGAAAACACACACACACACACACACACACACACACACACACACACACACACACACACACCAACAACAACAACCTCCAACCAGCACCAGAAAATAGGCAAAGAAACCTCCGAGAATTTCTCAACCCAAAAACAGGAACCAAGTACGCAGGCCAAGATCAGACAACAAAAAGCATGGCTTAAACTTACCAGCCCCGCTTCAGTGCGGTAGCAGCAACTAAGACAGCCACCTCAAAGGATCGCCCAGATAGTTTCCAATGTGGACCATGAGACGCTGCGCTTTCTCTTGGAAGCCCCACAAATCAAGGGAGAGAAAGTCACCATCAAAGTCAGAAATACCAAGGACAATACTGATGAAGAAGTGACAGCTTGAGCATATCCAAAAGATAAGATGGCCGGCACGAACGCAACCTTCGAGAAGCACGCTCTCATTTTCTCCTTCTCCAATGCCGGAGCAAAACTCTCAGCCGTGGAGAAAAGAAAATGGGTAGTGAAAACCATTCAGGAACAAGAGAACATCAAGACTGATGTCGATAAGTTCTCCCTGCTCGGCTTGGGCAGAACCATGATGATGGTGGTGTTCAAAGACGCCACCCAAGCAACACACTTGCTGGAAAAATGTGAAAGTTTGAACCGTAACGGCTCTGTCTGCACCCTGTCACGCTGGAAATCGGAAACAGCACAGCGAGCCGAGATCTCGCCAGCGGCTTCCTACAAGCAGCGACTGATGAGGGAACAGTTCTGGGCACAATTCGACAACATCCCCGCCAAAGGCCATCCCCTGATCAAAGACCACCTGGAAGTGGAATACCCAGCCAACAAGGTGTTGAAGTAGGTCCTTCCCACGCCCGACTTCTTGGCCCCCCATTGCGACTCAGTCACAGCGGTCTTCGAGGTACTCACAGATGACCCTCCAATCTTCCCAGAAGAGTGGCAATGTCTCATTGGAGACAAAGTCACGGTGGTAACAGTCTCAACCAAAGCGTCGCCAATATGTTTTAGATGCAAAGACAGGGGCCACCTGGGAACGGGGATCCCAAATGCCTGCACTCCACCAAACAGAAAAATTTGAGGCAGAACATGCTAGTAGAAGTGGAAGAAGCTAAAGGAATCAGGTTCGTCAACGACTCAGACTACAATGGCTGGGTCTTCGACGATAATATCCCAGATCCCAAATGGATTTGGACATATACTAACACCACCCCGGCGATCAAACAACCAGACATCTTCCCTCCGTCGGACAGCAAATGGCACCACGTGGGGGCAAAGAAGATTACCGGTATCCCAGGTAAAATCCACTCGGACCCAGTGATCGACTCCCGGGTGATCAAGGAAGAAAAGAAACATGAAGACTTGATGTGGGATCTGGAATCGATCAGACAGCAGACAGCTGCCGCTCTCTCCACTCCAGAGGACTATGACAACATCCTGGGCATAGCCAAACAGACCATCGAGGGACAAAGCCCACAGGCCGACCCATCCCTCAAGAGGCAGGCCTCCCCCCAAAAGACCAACGACAACGAACCAAGCGGGAAGAAAAAAAGGAAGGGCAGCACACCTGTAGAGGGAAGCGAACCCACTGAGGACCTGAACCCACAGGCCCATTTAACAGGCCGAGATCAAGCAGACCAGGATCTGATCCAGCAAGGAATGGTCATATCACCCACCAAAAAAGAGGATGCAGGGATATCAAGAGGGAAGGGGGACTCCCCTATCCCGTGGCTGCAAGAATACCTCGAAAGAGCCAAAAACGAGAGAGAAAAAGGATTTGACATCCGTGTGGCATGCATGAAACATCAAGAGAAAACAGGCAGAAACAACACGTCTACGATAGCAGGCATCCACACTACGAAGAATTCATACAACATCCTGAGACTACAGAGCGAGCTATCGGGATTCGGTGCTTTCCGGTACCATGAGAAGAAGAGGGAAAGAGAAGCTTCAGGCTCTGAAACTGAATCCAGCGCCGAGACACAATCCCACAAGGACCCAATCAGGGACATGGTACCTAAGAAATGGAAGCCTTCGAAGGGTAGAGACAAGATGCCTAGGAAATCTCAGGCCGATCCATTTGAAAAAGGCAGCGCGCAGCGATCTATCAAACGGGAGATAGTCATTGTCGCAGCTCAGACAAAGTGCTTGTTTGATCGGAACGAGGAGTACCGCCAGAAACACAGCAAAGAATACTGCACAATCCGAAATGTTGCTGAGAACAGGACTCCCCACGTCACTGAGAAGGCAGCATCAGACCGCAAAACTATAAAAACCGTCAGACCTCTGGTCCCCGTCCAGTACAGGAGGAAATTCGGCGAGTGGCAGGTGGCCACCAATGTCTTGTTCACTGTCCCGACGCTGGGAGACCAGCGGAATTTGGCTAGAGCCATAAAAGAAGGAATTTCAGATGAATTCTCTGCAGGCGTTTATAAAGTCCCCGTGGCCCTTGCAGAACATGCAGACGAAACAGGCCAGGCCCCCGACACAGCCAAGTCCTTCGAGCCAATTTTAGTGAAACTGGACGAGAGAGCTAGATTACATGAAGGGCTGGTATGGTGAGCATGGAACACCGTGACAGCACTGTCGTGCAGCACTCTTGCAGGCAAGATGTGCCCGACAGAGGTCATGGCGGTCTCCCTGGCCTCCATTATCAGGTCCCATATTCTCATCACAGAGCATTCTCTGCGAGACGAAGCTACGGCACTCCATGTGGAGCCCGATGACGATAAAGGAAGCATGGTCGACGACGAAGATTACGGGATGGCCATTGGGATTTCCCTGGAAGGCGCAGGAACTGGAACCACGCCGTTGCCCGAGGGCAACGTAGGGGCATACAGTCTGAGCTCCGTTCCGGGGAAAGAGAACAGCGAGGACAGCGAGAACAGCGACGACTCTAAGCTGGGCAGTTCCGAAACCTCAGCCGCCGTGGACTAGATTTACTCATCCCTCACCTAACAACCCTATCCCTCAAACGCCCACCCCAACCAAGCAAAAAAAAGACAAAGGACGGCAAGGAACAAAACCCAGTGAGCCGGACAACATTGGTCTATGGCCTGCAACAACACGATAGACAATGCAGTCAGAACTGACTGGTGAGCAAAGGGCCTGACAATCCATAGTTGGAACGTCAACGGCCTAGGCAACATTCTGTTCGAGGAAGATAAACTCTGGGACATTCGAACAAGTCTAATAGACAAGAAGAAGTCGAAACCAGACGTCATCCTAGTTCATGAAACCCACCTGTCGGATCTCAGAAACCACGCCAGAATTAAGAGGACAGTGGAAAAAAGCTTGGGTGGCTGCGATTTCACACTCTGGTCCAACAAAGCAGGTCTGAGTAAGCGAGGAACAGCTATGCTCATACCCCGAAGCTCCAAAATCTGTACAGACATGACAGAGGGCAGATAGTCCTGGATTGATATCAGATGGCAGGAGGAGGATCTTAGAATCCTGAACCTCTACGCGCCCAACGCAGAAAGTGATCGGCTAGAATTCTTCAATAACGTCAAACAGCTCATCCCAAATCCTCTACCGATAATTATGGCAGGAGATTGGAACACGACCCTGGATCCAAATCTCGACCGCATCTCTCGGTCTATGCTGATGGGCCCTACAAGAGCAGGAACCCACATTCAGAATATCATGATGGAGTTCGAACTGATCGATCCATTCAGAACTCTCCATCCTCTTGCGAAAGCCTTTTCTCTAGTTAGGAGAAATCAGGCTAACCACATATCACTCTCGCGGATCGACTTCTTTCTGATTTCTACGCTCCTCCACACACCGTCAAGGAGGCCGAAATTCTGCCTACAACTGCATTTAAAGGGCTGGACCACAAACTCATATGTCTGCTCCTTAATTTTAACGCGTCGGTGGAAAAAGGCCACGGCTTTTTCAGACTGAACAATTCCCTCCTTTCCACAGATCGTCCAACAGAGGCAGTCAAATGGAATTGGCTGCTCATGAGACCGGAGGAGGCTAGGCGACAAAATAGATACCAATGGTTTATAGACAGCTATACGGATTTATCCCAGACCGTATCAGCCGAGTCGAGAAGCATAGCGGCGAAACGCAAAATCGAAAAAGAGGAACTTTAAATTGCTATAACAATCGCTGAAGCCAATCTTACATCAGATCCCACTAACGAGTTCTATTACGACCTACTCAAATTTGCCAAGGAGGAACTCAACGAATGGAGGAAATGGGGACTAAGAGGCCTGCAACTACGCGCCAGGATGACTGATTACACCCTTAATGAGTCTATGACCAAGTTCTTCTTCTCTAAGATTAAGTCAAATGCTAGAAACAGTATGATCGAAAGTCTGAAGGACCCATCAGACCAAGGGTCAGTGAAATCAGCGGGCATAGACTTGGTAAGGATAGCCAGGTCCTTCTACTCAGACCTCTACGAGTCCAAGATACCTTCCCCCCCCTCCACTAGGAACCTAACAGCTCGTCAACATATGTTGTCTTACGTCAATAGAACGATAACGCCGAAACAAACAGTAGGCCTAGATCAACCAATCACCCTAGGGGAGCTCCACATAGCATTATCCCAGATGGGGAACGACAAAGTTCCAGGGATCGATGGATCTCTAACGAGTTTTGGATCCATTTTTGGCCGACATTGGGGAGCGACCTCCTCAATTTTATTAATGACAGCAAGACAAAGGGTGGTCTGGGCCAAGTCCTTAGCACCAGCGTGGCCTCCCTACTCCACAAGAAAGGGGATAGAGAGGACCTAAGGAATTACAAACCGATCTCACTCCTTACAACCCCCCTATAAAATCCTCGCGAAAACATTAGCCAACAGGATCATAAAACTCACTGACAAATGCTTCCGTATCGATCAAGCAGAATTCATCCCTGGGAGATACATCCTAGACAATGTGATGACCCTAAACGAGGTAGCAAAGAAGATCACGGAAAAACGAATGCAGGCTTCTATCCTGTGCTTTGACTTTGAAAAAGCCTATGATCAATCAATTGGAACTTCCTCCACAACTGCACGGAGAAGATGGGAGTTGGGCCGAATTTTAGGGAATGGGTCAGAATTCTGGAAGAGTCCAAATTAACAGAATACTATCTGACTCCTACCCGATATCAAGGTCTGTACGCCAAGGTGACCCACTAGCCCCCCCCATCTTCCTTTTCATCATGGAAGCCATAGCCTCGTTCCTCCGTAAGCACCCCTCAATAGATCGCCTCACAGAACAAAATTACAACCCCTTACACGACTTTTCTCTTCCCACTGTGTTGATGTTCGCTGACGATCTCATGGCCCTCATTCGGGCGAATAACTCCTCTTCCAGGCCCTTGTCTGAGCCATGGAGGCCTTCCGACTCGCATCAGAAATGAAGGTGAACTGGCTTAAAATTGAAGGTTGGTGGTTAGCAGATGGCACCCCCATGTCATGGTCCACGGGCGACCAAGCACTCCGGTACTTGGGAATCATGATCAACAAGGAAGGCACATGGCCAGCGATGGGTCAGAATCTAATTGCGAAGGCAATAGCTCGCCTAGCCCCGTGTAAGAAAGCCCAGGCATCTCTATTCAGCAGAGCATTAATCATAAACACGACAATATTCTCTACCCTGTGGTATATGGCATCCATCTGGTCCCCCTCTGACGACGACCTCAAGACTCTGAAGGCTAGGGTAAGATGCTTCCTGTGGACTCGGGACCCTAACAGGACCACGTGCATCAACAAGGTTGCATGGCAAGTAGTTACCAGGAAACCGCAAGAAGGAGGCTTGGGCATTATAGATCCACAACACGAAACAATCACCCTTCAGATGAAATGGGTTATCAAGATCCTAACCAAATAATTTCTCCCTTGGAAAAAACTGGCCCTAGACAGCATAAGAAACCTGGCGCCAGCAAATTCTCCACCCAACATGCGGGGCCTCTTCTGGATCATGGCCAAAGAATGGTAAATCAAGACAGGGAGGACAGCAAGGAGAGTGCAGCATGAGATGACCAGTCAGCCTACCCCCTCGCCCAACCATTACTGGTCGCCGACCTTGAAGGCTTGGCGTCGACTGATGCCCAACAAACATGGCGCGCCGAACAACAAAGAGGAAGTCCTCAGGCAGCCTCTCTTCAGCAATCCATGGTTAAAGGACGCAGAAGGTAATCCCTAGTACCTCCCCGCGAAAGACCGCAGATGGCTGACCTGGTTGGAGAGAGGAGTGTGGCAGATCAAACATCTATGGTCCACAGATCAAGATGACTGGCTAACGGACCAAGAGCTCCGAACCTCCCTTAGGGGGTGCCACTCATTGGAAACCAATATAGCAACGATACATCAGAGCATCCCCACTCAATGGATAGATCTCCTAAGAGAAAGATTCACGTGGAAGCCAGGTGAATGGGGCTTACTTATCTCTCAAACTCCGCCCGTGACGGCCTATCGTTTCATTTCTAAATCAGATTCCTCCAGCTACCAATCCAGCTTCTTATCTGACCCCATCTCCAAACACAACCTTCAGGAACTGGAAATCCAGGACGATATCTCTCAAATTGTGTGGCTAGAAACCTTCCTTCTCAGAAAGGTCAGAGTCACCCAGAACAGACCATGGGTCATATTCCAGCTAGAACTTAGCATCGATGACCTGGAATTCGACCCTAAGGAATGGATGTGGAAACAAGGCTCCAACAGGAAATCAAGAACAATTTTCGAATACGACGTGAAATTCGGCTACGACCTCGGGTTGCAAACGACAGACCCGAACCCCAGGCTAAAAGAGAAATGGCAAAACATCTTGAACCTAGTCCCCTTGATCCCGTTCACCATTCCCTGGACCAAATACCTTCTTATCAGGCCCGTTAGAATCCGCAGCATGCAATGGCTCCTAGCACACACAGCCCTCCCGGTCAATCAATGGCTCCACAAAAGAAGGAAACACTCAGACCCAGACAGCTCAGAACTCTGCGTTTTGTGCAACACCAACACACCAGAAGATATCCCCCACTGCCTCCTCTACTGTCCCGAAGCGAACTGGATCTGGGACAAAGTTCGGCAACTATGGTCCATCCTCTTTTCAGCGCCACCCCCAAACACTTCCCCTCTAACCATCCCACTCCTCTTTAACACTCCCAGGAAGTTCAAAGGCAGCAGGGAAGTCTGGTTCAATCTACTCAGAAAACTGGCTCTCTGGGTCATATGGAAACGCAGATGAACACAGACAATTGAAGGAGCAGAGGTGTCAAGGGAGGAAATGGGGACTCTTCTGATAAGCATGGTGGAGACCGAAATTCGGGCCAGATGGTGGAAAATATCATCATCCAAGATGCAGAGACCAGAAAAGCACGCATTCAAAAGACGAACATTCCCGAGGAACTGGTTGTTAAATGGCAAGATCGCCACCGTAGCAGTCAACAGGCTGATATGGAAAAAGTGGCATCAAGCGTAGCCGCAAAGCAACGGAACACCATGTAATCTACGGAGGAGGAATAGTTCAACGAGCACAAGGACAAGCAGGGTAACGAGCAGGATACAATCGAGGGTTCAGATTGGATGAGGGGCCCCTCTTTAACGAAGACAAGGAGCACAGTCCCGAGAAGGACAAGTTGAGGCTTTAGTCTTAGACGGACAGACATCTCTCCCAGTTTCTTGTGCTTCAACACCTATTCGACAGAACCAACAGGGTTTCTGAGAGGAAAACTAGGGTAGCCCAAGATGACAGTCAATCCTCCCAAGCAGGAGTAATCAATGCTGGTCAGGGTTCCTTCGGCCAGACAGAAGGAAGCGTGAGTGTGTACGATAATGTATTCAATTTTGACTTGCCGGGGGGATAGGAACCGGACTGACGCTCCCCAGAATGGATATGGAGCCAGGACCATAAGAAGGAAATTCTCGTCTGTTTAAAGTTTAAACTTTAAACTGCAAACAGATTATATACTTGGAAGTGTGTCCAGGCTGGGGGATAGTCCTTAATACTCCTTACGCTTTCCCAGGAAGATGCATAATATCCCAGTGAAGCGGGGGGGGGGGKGTTAGCTTGTGCCATAGCGCGTCCAATCATCTCCGTAT